AGACCCTATGCAGCTTTACTGTTACTAATTATTGGGTATGATGAATTAATTTTCAGATTATAAGGTAAATTGGTTAATAAAAATGAAAATCCTTTATTTTCGCATCATACTTCAGAGTCTCTTGCTTGTTGAATACTAATTCAGTGGGCGCTTCTGGCTTCAGTGGGCGCTTCTGGCGCCAATACAGAAGCCCAAATGAGAGATAGCCTCAGTTCTGACTTTTAAGTAGCCTTAGAAAGGAATATATGGTTAGGAGACAGTTTATGTGGGGCACAGACCCCTTAAAGAGTAAAAGGGAGTGTCTAAAAATTATTTGTTATAGGCACAAGCTTGGCTTCGCTTAGCTTGGCCGTAACGTTGTTTGTGGTTTTATGTAGTTTTACTATATTTAATCTTCTAAAATTATTTCTATCTACCCTCGCTGTAGATACGAATGGATATTTAGGTACGTTTTTCACTATAGTGAAAATAGCGGTATAATAAAAAATATTATGAATAAATTTTCTAATGTTTTTTGAGTTATTAAGAGATTTCTTAATAGTCATGATAAATACCTGAAAAGCTCAACGGCTAATTCGTGCCATACTGTTTGATTAACAACAAATCTTACAGTTGCGTAAGCAGGGCATAGGATCACAAGATGCAAAAAGGAAAGATCTTGGATTATTGGAAAAGCTACGCTAGGGATGTTTGTCCTTCAATATTTTAAGCTATCTTTGGCTGCGACTACCATCTCGCCTGCTACCGCGAACCCCATTCCCATATCCCCTGTCCCCCATTCCCCCTGCGGGGGAATGGGGGACAGGGGTATCCTTCGGCGGAAAACAAGGGGGGAGAGGGGGTATGAATGGAATGGAGATGGTAGGGACCAAGAGAGCTAAAATTATTGATAATATATTGGGTTAATTTCAAGAATTACTTAGATAAGTAAATTTGAAGCGAAATTTATCTTGGCATAATTATATAAGATAAAATCGTTCAACGACTATAAGGTGAGTTATGCTAACAATAATCCTTTTTAACACCCAACATTTTTATTACCATACACTTATAAAAAAAGATAAAAAAAAAAGATAAAATTTATTTACATGAAGGCTAAAGCTTTAAAAACAAAGGTTGGCAGTTCTCCTAATAAAATTAGGCGGGGCATACTTAGCGAATCCGCCCATATTTTTCGTTCTAATTTAAATAATAATTTTAAATTAACACCTTTTAATACTAAATTTAATGATAATGGTCATGTTAGATACTTACCTCCTGTATCTAAAGAATGAAAAAATACTATATATGCATATTATAAACAAAATATGCAAAATTTACCTATAGATAGCAAAAATGCAAATAAAGTATTAGAAAGTTATTTTAATTTACATTTTGCCAATAATAGATTTATAGGATCAAAATTCATATCTCCAAAAACAAGAAGTTTATTATTACATAAAATTTATGTAAGTAAAATGGAAACAAAACATACAAATTCGAAAACTATAATAACTTTATATACTATAAATACTGAAAAAAATAATGTATATAATAATTATCTAGGTTATAATAAATTTTGAGAAAACCAAATATTAAAATCATTTAAAAAGGGATTAAAGCAAAAAATTAAGGAGGGCTTTATTACATATCCTGTCCTGAACCCCATAACCCCATATCCCCCTGCGGGGGATCAGGGGTTCGAGAGCAATGGAACGGGGGGCTTCGCCATACTTCGTAATGAAAAAAAACTTCTAGTTTCTAAATATAAATATTTAACTGAATCTTTACCATGTTTTAATATATATTTAAGATTATATTTAAGTAGACATTTTAAAAATTCATACCTTGATAAATTAGATTTATTAAGAAAATACCAATTAAACTATTACCTTAATAAATTCAAATTTGAAAAAAATACTTATTTACATAAATTAAGTAATATGTTATCTAGAGTATTTAATAATAATATAGAATTTAATATAGTAAACTTAAAATCTGTTGCTTTTAGTCCTGATATATTTACTGATATATTAAGTTTAAAAATTAGAAAACCTAATGTTTCTAATTTTGTAGGTGTAATGAATAGTTTATTAAAAGTATCCAAATTACCTGAAGTTAATAGAATACAGGAAAAGGCTAGTTTTTTTAAATCTAAAGATTACGCTTTACTTGAAAATATTTACCCAAATTTAAATATAATTTCGTGCTTACAGGTACTAAATAATTACGGGCTCCTGTCGGATAGTTTAGTAAGAGAGGATTCCGGTTGCTATTTAAATTTTTTATTAGCAAAAAAATCTTTAATAGATGAAGACTCTATTTTAGGTATTAATCCTGAATTTTCCTTGCCTGAAGGATATGAATACTTCAGTGACTTATACGAAAGAGAAAAAGAAGAGTATATAAGAAGCAATATCTCTAATAAAATATTTAATTCTATTAAATATAAAAATTTAGGAGGTATAAGATTAGAACTTAAAGGAAGATTAACTAAACGTAATAGAGCAGATAGATCTCAATTTAAATTTAAATGAAAAGGAGGATTAAAAAATATAGATTCTTCTTATAAAAAATTACCTACAGTTACATATAGAGGTTATTATAAACCTAGTGTAATTTCGGCTTTATCTCAATCCAAACGTGCTGTAGGATCTTTTGCGGTAAAAGGTTGAATAAGTGGAAAATAAGTATATTTGAGCTAAAGAACTATATAAGTTATGGGGTGCGAGCAGCCGACTTCGTCGTAGTCGAGCGACTACGACGTCGTATGCTCGCTCTAATAAAAATGAAGACATAGTCTGAACCATTTTGTGAAAAATGGAAATAAAATTTATTATGATAACATGTAGAACAGGCTAATTTGCGCAAGAGTGTACAAAATGAGTGCGCGGTTTGGCACCTCGATGTCGGCTTAACTTATCCTCATGGATGCAGAAACTATGTAGGGTACGACTGTTCGTCGATTAAAAAGTTACATGAGCTGGGTTAAATACGTCGTGAGACAGTATGGTTTCTATCTTCTAGAGGGAATTTGAATAAAATAAGGATTAACCTTTGTACGAAAGGAACAGGAAAAACTTAGCCCCTCCATTTCCGACTACTGCGTAGCCAGGAACGAAGGCGGGATTAAAGTTAGGTTATATTAATTGTTAACCTCTGGTTTACCTGTTGTTTATAAGCCGAATATTTCATTAAGTCGGGGGTTCTCAATAAACTAAAAAAGATGAGAGTTCTCATAGCTTAACCGACTTAATTACGGGGGAGTACTCGAAACCTGAGAGATGTCCCTACCTTAAACGCGGATGTTACTTTCACTTAAGTAAATATATATTATAGGCACGGCAGGAAAGCTAAGTTAGTTAAAGATAAGTGCTGAAAGCATATAGGCACGAAGCTTACCTTAAGATATTTCTAATTCACGTAATATAATATTACGGTATAGTATTATAGTAATACTATTATTATAATAATAGTATTGAGGACGGAAGTGCACCCCAATACACGGTGGGAGTATAGAAGGGCTATATTCGGGATCCAGATGTGGGTTGAGCTTGCACTGAAGGCTCAAATTATATGCTATACAATAGGCTTTGTTTGTAATAATCTAGAGATTTTAAGATACAAAGTACTAATTTTAAAGTAACTATTTATTAATATATCTTACATTTAACTAAGGTTATAAGCCTTAGTATGTCTGGTTAGCATAAAAGTAATGCAATTGTTTTGTAATCAATAGACGCAAGCGCGATACTTGCACTGGGCTTATATAGGATTAGTAGTCAAGTGGTAAAGACATAGCTCTTTCAATGCTACATACGCGGGTTCAAACCCCGCCTAGTCTAAGCGGGTTGATGTAATAGTAACATATTTGACTCATGATCAAATCATAAAGGTGCGAATCCTTTATCCGTATAATAGAGGCTATAACTTAATTGGTAAAGTGTACTGCTCATAACAGTAATGATAAGTGTTCAACTCACTTTAGCCTTATTCATAAATCCGAGTGCTGGAATAGGTAGACAGGGTATTCTTAAACAATACTGATGAGATTTCGTGAACGTTCGAGTCGTTCTTCGGATATTTGAATAACATTCAAGTCAGATTTGCCCATATCGACCGGGACAGGTGGGGGGGCTTCTGACCCCCTCATTCCCCGTCCCCCGACGTCCCCTCTTTTTCCCCCCCTCCCACCTCCTCAATGAATTGAGGAGGAGGGACCGAGAGAGGGGACTACGGGGGGGAGAGGGGGGGGGGTGCTTCTGACCCCCTCATTCCGCCTGGCTAGCGAAGCATGCATGGGTTTTCTGGGTCCATACTTCTGACCCCCATTTCTTTCTCTGACGATCCCTCGTCCCCTACCCCCATAACCCCATACCCCCCCCTATAAGGGAATGGGGGGGTCAGGGGTTCGGGAAAGGGAGAGCAAGAAATTAAGAAGGGGGTATGGACAGGGGGGTATGGGGATATAGTTTAACTGGTAAGACTTTGATTTTGCATATCAACATTTCAGGTTCGATTCCTGATGTCTCCATTTTAAGCTCGTGAAGCTCAATTGGTCGAGCGAAATATTGAAGCTATTTAGGTTATAAGTTCAAGTCTTATCTCGAGCATAAAAAAGGGGATGATGAAATTGGTAAACATGGATGGTTTAGGACCATCTGATATTAAGTATCTTACCCGTTCAAGTCGGGTTCTCTTTAAAAAATTATGTTGTGGACTAATGGGTAAGTCATAAATTTTTGGTATTTACTATTGAGTGTTCGAATCACTCCAACATAAGGTGGATATTTATAGTTAAAGGAAATAATAGAATCTACATATCCCCTCTTTACCCCCTTCTCTCCATTCCCCGAACCCCAGACCCCCATTCCCTTATAGGGACGGGGGTATGGGGTTATGGGGACAGAAGAGAAGGGGGGGAGGGACAGAGGGGATCAGGGGCTGGCTGGCTGGCTACGTAGTCGCTACTACGTCGCCAAGCCATACTTGGTAGCGAAGCCGAAACCGCGACTACGTCGCATGGATGGATGGATGGAGCTCCGCATTCCTTGCTGGCATACTTCTGCTGGCGTAGCGTGCCATTCCCGTCCCCATTCCCTTTCCCTTATAGGGAGGAGGGACGAGGAGGTGGGTGCTTCTGACCCCCTCATTCCCGCCTGGCTGGCGAAGCATGCATGGATTCCCCATACCCCCATTCCCTTATAGGGACGGGGGGGGTCAGGGGATCCATACTTCGTCGGGACAGGGGGTATTGGGAATATAGGGACTGCGAAGCCGAAACCGCATGATAGATTAAACTAACTTTTATTATATACTGTTAGTTATTTTAATGGAAAGTAACTTTCCATTTCAAAGGTGATTATAGCTCAATTGGTAGATCGACTGTTTGTGGTACAGTATGTTCCCTGTTCGAACCAGGGTATTCACCCATTAATAAACCCGGATAGTTTAATTGGTTAAAACTTTAATTTCATGCATTAAAAATGGGAATTCGATTTTCCCTCCTGGTTCATAAAAATTTATCATGATAATAACTTCAATACTATTTATTTTAATTTCAAATGCCGTCACATTAAGACGAGATATTTCGATACTTTTTAATAGAGTAGCTATTTTAGCTTTAGTTTATTGTATTATACAAGATACAATGAGTTTATCTATAGTAAGTAACGGAATAGGGTTACATGGAGGTTTGCTTCATATAACTAATATTACTCAAATATTCCATATATTTATATATTTTGTTAGTATATTAATTATACAATTAACAAGTTTTCACCCTAGAAAAGTGTGAGTACCGGAATATTCTTCTTTAAATCAATTATTGTTTAATAAATTTATTTATTATAGAACAAAAATAATAAATAAAATGGGAGAACATTTAAAAATAATAGAATATCCTTTAATATTATTATTTATTATTATAGGTGCAGTTTTCTTAATATCAACCAATGATTTAGTTTCTATATTCCTATCAATAGAATTACAAAGTTATGGATTGTACATATTAAGTACAATATATAGAAATTCCGAATTATCTACTACTGGAGGTTTAATTTATTTCTTATTAGGTGGATTAAGTTCATGTTTTATATTACTAGGAACAGCTTTATTATATGCTAATTCAGGTACTACTAATTTAGATGGTTTATATGTTATTAATAGTATAAGTGACTTCAGTGATATGACTTACTGATACCAACCTTATTATATAAACTTCTCTTTATTAGTTTTTAGTATAGGATTCTTATTTAAAATAAGTGCAGCTCCTTTCCATTTCTGATCTCCTGACGTTTATGATGCTATACCTACTATAGTTACAACATTTGTAGCTTTAGTTGCCAAAATATCTATATTAATATTTTTACTAGAATTAGTTTATTACACAAGTAATAACTTTTCAGATGTTAATTGAACTTTTGGCTTAATAATAAGTTCATTATTCTCATTAATAATAGGAACAGTTGTAGGTTTAACACAATTTAGAATAAAAAGATTATTTGCTTATAGTACTATCTCTCATGTTGGTTATATGTTATTAGCTTTAGGTATTTCAAGTATAGAATCTACTCAAGCTTTCATATTTTACTTAACACAATATACTATAAGTAATTTAAATGCCTTTATTATATTAATAGCTATAGGGTTTTCTTTCTATCGTTATGTTACTAATAATAAAGAACATGAAGATCTTTTAGATAAAAATAATTCACCTGTGCAATTAGTTAATCAATTAAGAGGTTATTTTTATATAAATCCTTTATTAGCTTTAAGTTTTGCGATTACAATATTTTCTTTTATGGGTATACCACCTATGGTAGGATTCTTTGGAAAACAAATGGTTTTAAGTGCAGCTTTAGATAAAGGATATATATTTATAACTTTAATTGCTATTTTAACTAGTGTTGTAGGAGGTGTATATTATTTAACTATTGTAAAAGAAATTTTCTTTTATACACCACAATATAAAGTTAATCCTTTATTAGAAAATTTAACTTTATATGGAAATATTTATGATAAATATAATAATTTTATTAAATCTTTAGAGTTTAAACATAATAATATAGTTATAGCTAGTCCTATGGCTTTTATTATTTCTGTTATTACTTTAGTAATATTATTATTTATATTTATAAATAATGAATGATTAAGCATGGGTACCATATTGGTACAAATTTTATTTAATTATTAATGAGTAGTATGACTTTTTTTTTTGTTTTTGTACTTATTTTAACTTTGCTTTTCTTAGTTCTTAATTTTGTTTTAGCACCTCATAATCCTTATCAAGAAAAATATAGTATATTTGAATGTGGGTTTCATAGTTTTTTAGGTCAAAATAGAACTCAATTTGGTATAAAATTCTTTATTTTTGCTTTAGTTTATTTATTATTAGATTTAGAAATTTTAGTTATATATCCTTTTGGTGTTAGTGAATACGATAATGGTATATACGGGTTAATTGTTGTACTTATTTTTACTGGTATTATTACTGTAGGATTTGTATTTGAATTAGGTAAAAATGCATTAAAAATAGATAGTAGACAATCTGTTATTGATTCATATAAATCAAATTCTTTTGTAAACACTTATTCTCAAAAATAATATATACTGCGGTTTCGTCTTCGCCCCTATACCCTACCCCTACCGTGGGGGGGGGGTAGGGTATACTATGGTGAAAAAATGTATGGACTTATTAGTGATGTATTTGCTTACATCCAAAAAAAAAAAAATGTGAAAAGTAATTAATTCCAAATATTCATTCCCCTCTGCTGGCTGACGAAGTATGCGGTTTCACCATACTTCGTCATAAGTATGCAGCCGGATCAGTATTTACTAATTCATGGTACCTAAGAAAGCTTATAATTGTCTAAAAATTACAATATTAATAGTAATAAATAATACAGCTAGGATCTGCGAGGAGAGATAGCACCGTAAATAATTACAAGACACATATAAAAAATTTATTATGATTCAAGTTGCCAAAATAATAGGAACAGGTTTAGCTACAACAGGTTTAATAGGAGCAGGAGTAGGAATAGGTGTAGTTTTCGGAGCTTTAATTTTAGGTGTAGCAAGAAATCCTTCATTAAGAGGTCAATTATTTTCTTATGCTATCTTAGGATTTGCTTTCTCTGAAGCCACAGGTTTATTCGCTTTAATGATGGCTTTCTTATTACTTTATGTAGCATAATCAATATCAAAAAAAGAAAGATTCTCCTTCCCAGAGGGACAGGCTACGCCGCCTCATACTTCTACCGACGAAGTATAGTCGGAGAAGACTACGTTAAGTCTAATCTTAATTTATGCTTTCACTAATGAGTGACAAGGTTTATAAATTAGATGCTCCACATGCGTGGGGTATTTACTTCCAAGATAGTGCTACTCCTCAAATGGAAGGATTAGTGGAATTACATGACAATATAATGTATTACTTAGTATTAATATTGTTTGGAGTAGGTTGAATATTATTTTCTATAGTTAAATACTTCTACTTCACAGTAGCACCTATTGCTCATAAATATCTAAATCATGGTACATTAATCGAATTGATATGAACAATAACTCCAGCGGTTATATTAATATTAATTGCATTTCCTTCATTTAAATTGTTATATTTAATGGATGAAGTTAATGACCCTTCAATGACTGTTTCAGTAGAAGGTCATCAATGATATTGAAGTTATCAATATCCAGATTTCTTAGATTCTAGTGAGGAATTTATAGAATTTGATTCATATATTGTACCTGAATCAGACTTAGAAGAGGGAGCTTTAAGAATGTTAGAAGTTGATAATAGAGTAATAGTACCTGAAGAAACACATATAAGATTTGTTATAACATCTGGAGATGTTATACATTCATATGCTGCACCAGCTTTAGGAATAAAATGTGATGCATACCCGGGAAGATTAAATCAAGTTTCTGCTTACATTAACAGAACTGGAGTGTTCTATGGACAATGTTCAGAAATATGTGGAATTTTACATTCTTCTATGCCAATTGTAATCCAGTCAGTACAATTAGAAGATTTTTTGTCTTGACTTTTATCGCAATAATATGTCTGTGTATAGTTTTTAAAGAATTTTCTATATGCAGACATATGAATTATAGATATTTGTTATATTACAAAGGATTTATGCTAAAGTTTAGAGATTTATTCCATTATGCTAAATTATCTATTATAAATTTTATATGTGATTTATTTTTTATTGCTAAATTATCTATTATAAATTTTATATATGATTTATTTTTTGATGCTAAATTATCTATTATAGATTTTATATGTGATTTATTTTTTTATGCTATAGAATATATTGAAAATTATATACCTTCAAAATATAGGGCTAATTGAGTAAATATTGTAAAGCTTATAGTAAAAAAACTAAATAAGTTAAAAGGTGATAAGGCAAAAGTCGTGTATTTACTAAATTATGCGAAATCGGGCAAACCTAAAAATAGTAAAAAATCCTCTTTTGTGCGTAATGGAGTAGTCTTTATACGAGTTCGTATATATACGAACCACAAAAGGTATATTAGTAGCTCACCTCTTAGTCGTATGGACAGGAATAGTGATGACTCAGGTATTGATGATGTAGAGCCTAGTTCACCAGTTAGCTCAGACGAAGGTAATAATGGACCTACCGGACAAAACGTTAATAACGGGGTAGGTGATGCAAATAACCGTAACGTGGGGCAATCAACTGTTCTAGGTCAAGGTAGTCAAACTGCAAGTCAACAGTCTTCAGGTCAAAATAGGGCTCAACCGTCTAATTTGACTATGGTGGAGCGAGCGGCAGCTGGATATTTTAGCCAGGATTGAATTAGTCCTAGTCGTGCGAAAATGCTAGAAGCTGTTAAAATATTCCAGCATACTTGACAGTACAATGAACTTACCGCTAAGAATGCAAAATTCAAGGCAGATAAAGCAGCAAGAGATGCAAATGCTTCTAGCTCTTCTGCTGTAGCTGTAGAATCTACAGCTGGTTCTAGTTCTACTTCAAACCAACCCTTTACTAACTCTAGTTTAAGTTCAGGAGTTACTAGTAATGCTAGTAATCCAAATGGTGAGGGGGGAGGAAGTGTAGTTCAATCAGGTGCTACAGATTCAAACTCAACTGAAAATGAAGGTTTCTTGGGAGTTGGCCCACAAAGTTCTCCTCTTAAAAGAAAACACTCTAGCACTGAATTGCCTTCCAACAAACGTCAAGATATCTCAGATTCAGATGACGATGACGACAATGGTGGTAAAGGTGGACCTAGCGGATTTTCAGGTGGAGGTGGACCGAGTGGTCCAGATGGAGGAGGCGGTCCTTCCTCATCTAATTCCTTAAAAACTATGGTGAAGGAAGGGGAATTACTATCACCTCTAGAGAGCGATACTCTTACTAGAGGAACTCCCCTTGATTTCGTCATTGAATTGGAATCTACAACTTGTATACATGACGATCTAAATTTTTGGGATGAAATTATATAAATATTCTATAAAAAATTCTTTTGGATATTTTCCAGG